TACTAGTACTAGTAGTCGTACTAGTACTAGTACTGGTGTGGATGGAGGAAATGTTGCACACAAGAACAAAGTCGTCTCACCCTATTTCCTAACAGTTTTCCGGATCTGGCCCAATGACTTCAATCTGCACCACCCAATGAAAAGAGGCAGCAGTGTCAAAAAAGGGGCACGGTGTAGTTGGGTGATGGTTGACATTCCGTGGGTTTGGTTGGTGGTGCAAGATTTCCTCCATCCAGCGTAGTGCTAGTACCACTACTGCCACTACTGTACTACCACTACTACCACTACTACTACTACTACTACGACGACGACGACTACTACTACTACTTTCGTTATCGCTACCACTACTAAAACTACTACTACTACTACTACTACTACTACTAATAATAATAGTAATAATAATAATACTACCACTGCTTCTTCTTCTTCTACTACTACTGCTGCTGCTACTGCTGCTACTGCTGCTACTGCTGCTACTGCCACTGCTACTGCTACGGCTTCGCCTGCCACTTCTGCCACGACTACTGCTACTCTTGCTGCTTCTTCTACTACTACTACTACTACTACTACTACTACTACTTCTACTACTTCTACTACTACTCCTACTGCTACTGCTACTGCTACTGCTACTGTTACTGCTACTGATGCTACTGCTTCTCCTACCACCTCTTACACGACGACGACGACGACTACTACTACCACTACTACTACTGCTACTACTACTGCTACTGCTACCGCTACTGCTACTGCTTTTCACAGTCAGTCCAGCTACCTGCACTGCTCTTCCGGATTCCTCCTGGAAGCTTAAGGGGACAGTGACTCACAAAGGCCCGGCTTCCTCTCGAGGCTTCGTTAGACCAGGTTACGCGCTGCAGGGTCAAGTTCGGTGCCTATGATGTTTGCAATGTCCCAGGCAGGCGGCAGATGTCATGGCAAATGGCAATAGCAAACACCGCCATAGCAGGACCAGCGGTGCAGAATTGCAGAGATGTCACAACATCAATAACTCAGAAGATGGCTTTGCTGATCGTATTTCTTAATTTATTCTTCTGGCTATTTTCGAAGCCGCTGTTTTGCTTCAGACTGTCTTTACTGTCACATGCGATTTCAGATGAGAGGTCGTGTCCGTTCATGCTAGTTGGTGTGCCCGTGCAGGTGTAGGGCTTCAGAAGTCTCTACTGTGCTATGTTTCAGGGCTTAGTTGGGCGTCTTGGAGCCGGCTCAAGTGCTTGTCGCCTCAGTCAACTTTTTTTTCACAATATGGCGTGGAGCTGTTGGCGTTCGAGGAACCCTAATATCCAACCGTTCATAAAGTCCTAAGTCCAGGGCGGTAGATGCGCGGAAGCCGAAAGGTCGATGCAGAAGTCGATAAAAATCTTTTAGTTGCCAGACCCACCGTGCGCTCATTCAAGAAAAAGGCGTTTGAATCTCCGGACTTAACGATGTGGTTCAGAAGTTGAGGAGGGTTCGCAGCTAGGTCTGGTTTGGAGACCGTCTGTTGGAAAGGCCTTTTGATTAAGCCACTGAGCAAGGGCTCGAGCTCCTGAAGCGGAACACCCGAATCAAGTGAGTCGATCAGAACAGCACCAATGCTTCTATGGTATTCTTTCGGAAGGAAGATTATCGATGCCTGCTGCGAGCATTATGTCAGTCTCCTTGTGTGGATGCATTGACCCCAAACCCAGATTTGAAGTAGGAGCCGAAGGCCTGCAGCAACATAGGAGCCAAGTTCCTGCATCCCAAGGTGCAGGTCTTTTCTGCTATGTTTCATGTTGTCATGATTGAGAGGTCCACCCACAGACTGTAAACGCCACTGCAGGATGACTGTAGTTAACTTCGTGAGGATTTGTGTATGCTGTTTATTTTCGTGAGTGCCGGCATTGGCCGGTCAATCTCGTGAAGATCTATATTTGTCATTAAATATGGGAGTGACAGCAGATCAATTTCGGGAGGGTCTATATTTGCTGTTTAGTTTCGTGAGTGCAACGTAAAGCAGTGGGACTGCAGTTAGGCTTCCGTCTTTAGAACTGGCCATTGGGGCTTTCGGAGGCAATGTCTTTCTCTCCCGAGAGAAAGCCATCCCCTCCTGCCACAGCCTTAAAGTGCAGCATTTCAATATCGTTCGCCTCTGCAGACAGTATGACGCCTCTACCCTTAGGGTTCACGCTGCGGGGACCTACTGCATGAGCATGACGCCGGAATAAAACTAATCGCAAAAGGACATCTCCCGACTAGGAGGACATGGGTACATCGACGACGTTTTTTCTGTGCTTGATCGCAAATTAAAGAGAGCTGCGCGCACAATACGATCAACGCGGATCAGTCCCTCGCAGCAGAACACCGACCTTTTGCATGAACAAGCACGTGCAGACAAAACATGCAAGGCGACAGTTGCGGTCCTACACCCTGGGCCCGACAACCTAAAATCCCTAAGTGTTGACCCCTCACCATAGCAGCATTTCGCCAAATTTGGCTGCAGCTGTTGTCCCACACCATGCGAGCTGGGCAAGATCCCAAAGAGAAGCAGTAGTCAAAACAATTGCAGGACTCAGAATGATGGTAAAAGTATCAGCGCATCAGACGTTCCAACGAGAAACATAGTCGCAATAAGTCGGAATATCCCTGTCTTTGGAGTTCTTGGACTTTGAGACTCGCCATACAGAGAAGCTAAGAACCAACACTGTGGCTTCAGCCCCAAGCCCAGGAGCCAGAAAGCCATAACTCGCGGAACCCCGAACCCTAACGCAGGCCACAGACAGATGAGCCGACGCTGAACTTGGAAGAATTCGTGAACCCTTAAAATCAGGGCTTCATGCGGCGATGGCATCGTGGGCTCGCCCTGAGGGCGTGAGGCGACACCATGGATGCTGCGGGCCTGGTGCAGGGCCACGATAGTATTATGGCCGTTGCCAAGAGCAGTCCTTGGCTCATTGTCATTGCCATCATCGTCATCATCATCAACGCCGAATCCTTTAACTTCGTTTTGACGGCTTCCGTGACCGAGGCCCTAATCAAGACCTTCTTCGACAAGAAAGTCGGCGACTTTCTCAAGGCTCAACATCTGCGATCTGCCTTTGTTGTGGTCAATTCGAGTCCTTTTCAAAAACCAAAGTCTCACCATGTTGGAGCGCTCGAGGATCTTCTGCCGTAGTAATGAATTGAAGACGTAGTACAGTTCAACATATTGTGGCAGGCTATGAGATAATCCAAGTTCGTTATAGACAACGTCGAATGCTGTCTTGCCACCGACGTTCCTTCGGGGCTTCTTCTTCTGCTGCCTGCAAGTTCACTTGTGGACTGCGCCTGAGTTAAATGGCCATGAACGCGTCGTCACTTTCCAGCCCGAGCCCTCAAAAACCGAGCTGAAGATGCAAGCAAAAACCAAGACGTGAGCAACAGGCCTTGCTCTGAGGCGCTCTGTACTTCCAGTCTTCTGGTGCGCCTAAACCCCGCACTTTCCAAAGCAGGAGATCTTTCTAAATCCCCTTCCAAATACCACCAAAACCCTTTAAAACCATCGTAAACCCCACCCTTCAGAATCTCATGTAAATCCTTCCAAATCCTATTAAAGCCATTCAACATCCCACTGAAGTCCTTCAGCCTCACATGAAAGCCTTCAAGATCCTTCCAAGTCCTTTTTGAAGCGTTCGATATCCAATGAAAGCCCTTGAAAATTCCAGACAAACCTTTTCAAAACCTTGTAAACCCCATAAAACCCTGCAGAATCCCATGACAACATTGCCATGAAATACCTTGCAAAACTCGTGAAAGCCTTTCTACATTTCGCAGATTCCGATACCTGGGGTGGAAACGTGGTGTAGCGTGGACGGTTGTTGTAAAGGAGGAGGGTCAAAACAGCAGACGGGGCTCCACTGTTTGTCTCTACCAGCAGGTAGAGACAAAGTCCTGATTTCAACGGGGCCTTTGTCTCTACCTTCTGCTAGAGACAAAAACTAGAAGCCATGGCTTGTATTCCCCAAAACCCTATGCGGTCGCCGGAAGCATTGCCAATTGCTTCTAAATGACATAAGTTACGGGCTGGTGCTGCGGTCTGTACCAACAACAACAACTACTAGCAGTACTAGTACTAGTACTACTACCAGTACTACTGCTGCTGCTGCTGCTGCGACTGCTCCTGCTCCTGCTCCTCTTCCTCCTGCGTTTCCTCCCCCCTCGTCCTTGTCCTCCTCCTCGCCCTCCTCCTCCTCCTCCTCCTCCTCCTACTACTACTACTACTACTACTACCACTAGTACTATTACTATTACTATTTCTAGTTCTATTTCTATTTCTATTTCTATTTCTATTTCTATTTCTATTTCTATTACTATTACTATGACAACAACAACAACAACAACTACAACAACAACAACTACTACTACTACTACTACTGCTATTGCTCCAAGTTGTTCTAGTACTAGTAGTAGTAGTAGTAGTAGTCGTAGTAGTAGTAGTAGTAGTAGTAGTCGTAGTAGTAGTAGTAGTAGTAGTAGTAGTAGTACTATTACTACTACCACTAGTAGTAGTAGTAGTAGTAGTAGTAGTAGTCGTAGTAGTAGTTGTAGTAGTCCTACTACTACTACTACTACTACTACTACTGCTGCTACTACTGCTACTACTGCTACTACTACTACTACTCCCATACTACTGGGAGTACTACTCTGATCTCTTTTGTACTGTTACTGCGCCGACCACGACGACAACAGCAATCACATTCATGACAACAACAACAACAACAACAGCAACGGCCACCTCTACTGGTACTAGCACTACGGGTGGTTTTCATAGCACGCACCAAATCCAGAACCTTAGAAGTATCAAGGCCGCCATTGGCACGATGAGCAGTGCTTGCACCCTGTTCTTGCTGTGACCAGTCTTGCTGCTACGAGTTGCGATGCTATGGTCTTTGTGCGGCAGGTCGACCAGGGAAATCTCCGGATCGATCCTTCCTCTGGACAGTTTCAGCTCAAGAAGGCGCCTTAAACCCTCCCTCTCCCTACACTGCCGCACCTGGTTGCAGGAAGGGAGTATCGGTCGCTGAAGGCTTCAAGGGTTGGCAGGAAGCTTCCATGATTGTTGCATTCAGACCTTCAGGACTGTTGGGGGAGTGCTGTGAGGGTTCATGGAGTACGTAGTCTTCAAGCCTGCAACAGTTGGCGAGTTTAGGAGCGTTTTCGGTGAAGTTAGAGTTCAAAGAGTTTTGGTGCGACGTCATCTCGCGAAGGGATGAGTGCACTCCCGAAAGAGACATCTAGGGCCTCGAAATCCCATCTTCATGAGCCCGGGGCTATATGAAAGCTTTGCTGTAAAATCCTAGCCTGTGGCGGTTTAGGGTCCCCCTTGGGTTCACTTGAGCGTTATACATGCATATATATATATATATATATCATACACGTCTATTATACGTATGTATGCATATATGTATAATATGTTTATATGCATACACGTATACCTATCTATCTATATATATATATATATATTAGTTCTTAAGCATACTACATGCATGA